TTCAGACGAGCTTTGAAATTGTCCAAAAGCCCATTTAAGCTCATTCATGGAGATTGTGTTCCCCCCAAATCCCACCTTCAGTCACAACTTGCCTCCCGAGGCAAGGAAAGAGGAGTTGGGTTTTTGACGAGTGCACCAGGTAGAGAACTCATGACCTCGTGGTCTCAAGACATCCGCCAACACCAAAGGTGTCACGTGGCAGGTTTCCAGTACGGCCGTCAATGGCTGCAAGGGGGGGTTTTCTACGGCAACGCCTTCCAGAGTGGTGGAGTGTCAACACGTGAGATGAACAATTTCCTCCTTTCGCAGGTGTACAACCGAATAGGCACCGGTGCTTGTGGGCCCAGGTTCATTGGAGGTGATTTTAATCATTTCATTGATGATCTTTCAGTGGTTCAGACAATGCTCCAACAAGGGTGGCAGGAAGTACAGCACTTGGCCGCCAGCCGCTTTGGGCAGGAAATCCAGCCAACCATCCAGCAAAAACATGCTAAGGATTTGCTTTTTCTCAGCCCAGAGGTGACCCCATTTGTTAAACAAGTTTGTGTGGAGCCAGAATGGGTTGCAAATCATTCCTTAGTCTATGTGGTTTTAGATGTTGAAGCTACCCAGCCAAGGGTCCCAATCTGGAAACAACCCAGACAGATCGACTGGAACCTCACAGCCACCACCTCGGTCAATGACGACTTGCCTTTTTCACCAGGAACACAGCACCAACAAACGGCCGAAGATCAATACCGTGCAGTATGGCAATCTTTCGAACATCAAAAGGTTTCGGAGGCTAGAAGGTTGGGGTGCAACATCCATGAATCCCAACTCGGAAGGGGAGCCACCACCGAGCGGAAATGGATAACAGAGAACTTTGTCCCGCTCCGCCCATCTCGGCCCGGAGGTTTCACCCCAGAATATCATGGACAGAGCATGCTCCATACACGATGGATTAAACAGCTCCGTAGACTGCAGGCATTAGCCCAGATGCACCACCCAGGACATCGCCAATCATCGCAATGGCTAGATAGGAAACTTGGACAGTGGCATGCAATCATCCATGCAACAGGCTTCAAGCCGTCCTTTCCGCAATGGTGGGCAAACAAAGCAAAGCATGTTCTTGGTTTGCCATCCATACTTCCAGACAGAGCACCGGACGAGCACTTGGCGCGTCTTTTAGCTTTGGACTTCAAAGAAGACGTCCATGAACTGGAAAGTATGTTGCAAACATCTCGAATTCGGCAGGCCAAGCAGTCGCGCCTGGACAATCCAGCCAGGATCTTCACAGATCTACAGGCACCAAGACCAGAACCAGTACAGATGCTTTTGGCACATCATTCGTCGACCGTGGAATGTATAGATCAGGAGGAGTGTGCCGTCGAACTTGCTTCAGCTAATGCTTTCAAGCCCGACGAACCCATTGAATATAATGGAATCCCCCTCAGGGTAATCCACCACGACACTGATAAGCTCTGGCTCGAATCTATGCCGCCCATCCAAACAGGTGACACTCTAACTCAGACCAAGCCGATAACTGACTTAGAAGAGATATACCAAGAATTCCAAGCCGAATGGATGAAACGATGGGATCGACATGCCCATACGCCAGACAGCGAATGGGAGCCAATCGTTGATTTTGTCAAAAATGCCATTCCGGCTCCGCCGAGCATGGAATATTCGCCTATCTCGTATAGCACCTGGCAAACAGCTGTCGCCCACAAAAAAGTTCGGGCCGCAGTAGGCCCTGATGGAGTTTCGAGGAGCGACTTGCTTGCCCTCCCTAGGAGTCACGTCGAGCCAATCTTGAACACGCTGTCAGCCATCGAGCAAGGCCAATCCTTCTGGCCCAAGCAGGTTGTCACAGGCCATGTACATGCATTGGAAAAGATACCCAGTGCCTGGAAAGCCAGCCAATACCGTCCGCTGACGGTTTTCTCGATCATCTATAGGACATGGTCATCAATCAGGGCCAAACAAACCCTGTACCACCTGAGCCAATTCGTCTCCTCTCAGGTCACCGGCAACATCCCAGGGCGGTCATGTACAGACTTGTGGTTGAACATACAACTGCACCTCGAAGAATGCATGGCAGATCAGACCCCTGCAGCAGGAGTGGTAGCCGATCTTGTTAAAGCATATAACTTGCTCCCAAGACTCCCCCTCCTGGCCATAGGTCTGCACCTCGGGATAGCCAAACCCATCATCCAAGCATGGGCAAACGCGCTGCAGCAGATGGAAAGGGCTTTCAGTGTGAGAGGAACCATAGGCCCTCCCCTCACAACCACCACAGGTTTTGCCGAGGGTTGCGGTCTAAGCTGTGCAGCCATGCTCTTGTGTAACATAGCCTTGTCTAGGTGGCTTTACATAAGATTCCCCTCAGTCAAGCTTTGGTCCTACGTAGATAACCTTGAACTCACCGGCGCCAGCATTGCCGATGTTAACCAGGGACTACAACTGATGACACAGTTCTGTGACCTTCTTGACCTACAGTTGGATGAGGCCAAGACATATTTTTGGTCTAATGACGCTGCTGACCGTCAGGTTGCAAGACAGTCCAACCTCATGCTGCAAGCCTCCGCACGAGATCTTGGAGCACACATGGAATACGGCCTTCGGAAAACCAATCATGTCCTTCAAAAAAGAGTACAAACCATGCCACGCATCTGGATAGCATTGGCAAAATCGCCTGCGCCATACCGGCAGAAAGTAGATGCATTAAGGGTAAAGGGATGGCCACAAGCTCTGTCGGCAGTGTCCTCGGCAAGTCTCGGAGACACACATGTACGATCACTCCGAACCGGAGCATGTCGAGGCCTGCGAGTGCATGCGCCCGGCATTAGTCCCATGGCTCACCTTTCCCTGGTGGAGCACCCATCCACAGACCCAGCCTGTGCCATGCTGGTGAATACGGTCTTCACCATACGGCGACACGCCTGTCCGGATAGGGTAAGTGACCTAATGGACCGCCTGATAGCAGTAGGTTGGGATACAACGCCTCGACCAGGTCCGTGCCACGTTTTGCTCGAACGCCTGCACTCCATTGGATGGAGTTGGCTCGGCCAAGGTTGGGTCCTAGACCATGAACAGCAACCATTGGCACTGCTCCATGGCGCTCCCTCGGAAGTGCACCAAAGATTGCTAGAAGGTTGGCAAAACTTTGTCCAACAGTGCCTGACCCGTCGAAAAACGTTCCAGGGGATGGAATGGGTCCATGCCGGATTCACTCTAGAACACTTCCGAACCCATAATACACATAAGCAGGGTTTGCTTCGTAAGATCCTCAATGGTACGTTTTTCACGGCCGATACACAGGCCCATAATGATAAAGCTCATACCCTCACCTGTAAGTTTTGCGGTCAGCCCGATTCTCAATTCCACCGTTTTTGGGAGTGCAAATCCTTCGACAGTGCTAGGCCACACCCGTGGCTCACTGCGCAAGTCGTTGCAGGAGGGTTGCCAAAATGCTTAACTTTTCATGGATGGATGGGCCTGCCGGCATCAGTCAGAGAGTTGCAAAAGACACTGGTCAGCTGCCCGGACACCACAGACTCCTTTGAACAAGTGCCATTCCAACCACGTGACCTTTTTCTCGATGGATCCTGTGTCAACCCCACCTGCCAGTTCACACGCATGGCAGGATGGGGTATCGTGGCGGCACACCCGGAGGATACTGACCAGTGGTGGCCACTTGCTCAAGGGCGAGTCCCCGGCCGACGCCAAACAAGCGGCCGTGCTGAAATCTTAGCCGCCATCAGTGCTTTGAGGTTTGTGTTACGCTACGGCCACCCGGTTCGGTTGTGGTGTGACAACGCCCAGGTTGTCCACGCCCTCCAGCAAGCTTTACACAGACCGGCCGAGTGTAAGATAGGCAGAAAAGATTCGGACCTGTGGTCTTTGCTTGTATCGTTGGCCAGAACCATGCACGGCCACCTCGTCACAGTTCATAAGATTGCCAGCCATCAAAACAGATCCAACGTCAGCTGGATCGAACAATGGGCTTTCCAAGGCAATGATAATGCCGACCACTGCGCTCGCTGGAGCACATTGTTCCCGCAATCCCTTCATTGCCTGTGGCAACAAGCCACACGGGACATCCACTCAGCACGACTTTTGCGAGACCAAGTCCATAATAATATGCTTAAGGTCAGCGAAGAAGCTGTCAGCAAGGACCCGCCACCACAGGCGGATGATCCACCACAGCCAGCTTTTCCTCTGCCAATTCAGGACACCACGTTGGCGCCATTGCCAAACTTGCCACAAACTTGTACTCACAAACTTGTGGGAGAGGGGTGGTCCCTCCTGACCAATTGGTCCCAAACCTTGCATAATCCGACCGCCGAAGCGGTCCATGTGCCTTGGTTCTTTCTCCTAATAGATTTCGTGCTGCACACGGGCAGCGGTGGCATCCGTGCTTCACAAAAATTTGCCAAGTGGCACTGGCTCACCAAAGAAGAAGCACGCCAATTCGAGCTTGTGGATCGAGTAAAATGGTTCAGACTGTTCTTGATCAGAGTACATAAGCTTGAGGGCCGACCGTTGCACACCACATATGTGCGCCCCTCCACTCGACAGGTAGTATTCTGGGCACACTGCCTTTGCTTTCGAATGGACCAATCTAGACTCAGACGCATTGAAGAGTACATCGGACGTTTCAAAGCCGTCCTGCTCCTCGGACGGGAGATCGCAAACCTAGAGCTGTAGTTCGACTTCCAACCGGGCCAAGGTCGCCCCCGCCACAAGCCGCGGCGCCTGATCCTCTCGGAGAAACGGAGAAATGGAGGCCATCGCTATTAGTAAAAGCGAGGCCTTTGAGCGGTTACGGTATACGGGTGTCGGCGGGACGGACGGTAGCCCGATGCACTTGTTCCTAGTAGCGTTCTTGCTCCTAGTAGCGATGCCAGGAGCACCTAGTAGCGTCCTTGTTACTACTAGTAAGGCACTTGTTACTACTAGCGATGCACTTGTTCCTAGTAACTCTGAAGAATTGGAATGGGTTTTATCTTCGAGGCGGCCTCGCCAACTGCAGCTTCAGCAACGCAGCAGTGCTGAATCCTGGAGCAATCAAAGCAAGGATGAACTGCATGTGATGCAGCAAAATTCAAATAAATGTGCGTCTTGCAGCATTCTCGTCTCAGGACAAGAATATTTCGACTGGTGTACACCCTCGGCCGAACAAGGTTGTCTTTTGCAAGAGCGCTACCAAGAAGGTCGAATGTTGAGGAATTAGGTGACGTCTGTGCTGCAGTGTCATGTTGGTCACGTGTTGTGTATTAGGAACAAGTGCATCGCTAGTAGTAACAAGTGCCTTACTAGTAGTAACAAGGACGCTACTAGGTGCTCCTGGCATCGCTACTAGGAGCAAGGACGCTACTAGGAACAAGTGCATTAGGACTGGTGGCGATGTCATGCGTGGTGATTTGTCATGTGGTGCAGTTTCATCGCTTTTGGGTTGGAGGCCATCGCTAGTAGGTGGGTGCAGAGTCATCGTGGTGTTTTACCGTGGTGATTTGCTTTGCGAAATGTGCAGTTGTGACAGGAGCAAGGACGCTACTAGTTGTGTAGTAGCGTGCAGTGGCGAGGCGTTCGTCCGGCATCCGGCTATCCTGCGTGAAAGGTAGCATCGTGGGCCACGGGCCACGGCCTTGACACCCTAAAGGGACCAGGCTTAGACGTCTCAAAACTAAGAGCGATGGCCTCCAATCGCGCAGTGTTTGCAAAAGGTTCTGTATATCCTTTGCCCGCTTGAAATGCCAATTGGGCACAGCAATGTACGCTTTCCCCGAATGTAGCAACCGGCCCCTGCGCTTGCCACGATTGCTTTGGAACATCTCCACGCTCAGGATTTGTCAAACAAAAACATGACAGAGAGGGTTCTTCACGGATCCCTCGATCTCTGTCCCTTGGAAAACTCTTCCACGCTTCCTTTACATATCATATCAAAAAGAAACAAACTAGGAGCAAGGACGGTACTAGGAGCAAAAACACAGTAAACCCTTTGATTTTTGTAAAATTTCTTGTGCAACACTAGACAACACACGGCTTTCACTTGCTCCTTGGCAGTCTCACCTGAGACACTGCTCGGTCAGCTTCAAAAGCCGAAGGCGGTGCCTCTCGTCTGATGATGACACCATCAAAAAGTAAACAAACTAGGAGCAAGGACACTACTAGGGCTCCTGGCCTTACTACTAGGAGCAAGAAGCTACTAGGGGCTCCAGGCCTTACTACGCGCGACTGACCAAGCGAGGCCTCTTCAAGCAGCTGGATTGCGAGCTCATACCTGTCATTTGTGCTTCGGAGCATAACATGCGAAAAGACTAGACTCCCTTTTTCTCATTGCCAAACACTTTTCAAACATGTTTAGCCGCTAAATGGTCTTAGGTCTTTGGATACAATAGCAAAATGAAACGAACCAAGAGAAACAGAACGGACAGGGAAAGACAATGACTAGACTAGACCTAAGCGGTCTGCCAGTTTCGTACCAGTATTTGCTGTCCTGAGGGCCTAGCTCATCAGCAAGAACACGCTATCATATGGCCTTCACTACCCCTGACGACGAATTGCCACTGCGGTTGTGTTTGGTCGGTGAATAGCCAAGGGACAAGTTCACGTCTGCGGCTGTCAACTTGCAAATCATCACGGAGATCTCGTCATCCTTCAAAGGCCAGTATTTCCAACGCAACAAACACACAACCCGACCAATCAAACATCATGCAAGACATGCATGACAAACAAACATTTAAGCTTGGCATAGCCAACAGTACCACACTGCAATGTATCCCTGCGTAAATAAGCTTGTTTTGGCGGCGATCTTCGTTCCAAGCTATGAGCCTCTGTCGCCAAGTACACGACGGGGCTCCTTCATTTGGCGCTGCTAGTGCAACAAATTGGAAGAATGCGCTGCCCTCGTGTGGTGACGGTTTACAGGTCTAAACAGAAAAAACTTTTCCAAAAGAAACACGCAAAGGCGCTACTAGGGGCTCCTGGCATCGCTACTAGGAGCAAGGACGCTACTAGGGGCACGCAAAGACACAAAGGTCGCAAAACACTGAGGCCAAGACGCACAAGACTCAGAGACCTCACAAAGCTCTTCGCATCTTTCGATTTCAACTCTATTTTATGGCACTATATGTTGTATCTTTGTTTCGGCCATTCTTGTTCTTTCTCCGTTTCTTAGCCTTTCTTTCTGACATCAATCTCGGTGACATCATAAGGTCTTTACAACGTGGAATTTCAGACAGCCTTGGCCCTTTCCTTCTTAGAGCTGGAACGCCCCATGCTGACAAGAACCTACTTCAAGGGGAGTGGGACACCAAAGAGGTCCCTTTTTCTTTATGCTTGAAACACTTTGAGGATCAAGGAGAATACGGTGTAGACAACGACTATGTCTTGCATGTTCATATCAGCTTAGACGTGTGTGTGACCCATGGTAAATATGTCTTGGTGCTGCATCTCTCGATGACGTTTTTCTGACTGTTGCCTGCGGAAGCAACATTTTGGTACATTGTCGGGGTCTAAGAACCCAGTCCCTCCATCCAGTGCTGAAACTAGTAGCGAACCTTGTTCCTAGTAGTAAGCCCCTAGTAGCTTCTTGCTCCTAGTAGCGATGCCCTTGTTACTAGTGCTTGAAAAACCGGTCTCTCCCAAAAACACAATTGACACCGCTTTGCCCTGACGATGAAACCAATTTGAGCACAGGGTTTCGAGTGCAAAGTTCGTTTGACAGTAGATCGAAGGTAAGGTAGGAAATTTCATAGTCAATACACTCTCATAAATAAAGTGTTTCTGACAAAAGAAACAATCACAAAAGAAAAGGACAAATAAAGACAAACACAAGTACACAACGTGTTGCTGATTGTTTATTTGTAAAACCTTAGAGGAAGGAAGGTCGGTCTTGGCTTGACACTTTTCGCGCCGACCAAGGACGGACAAAACAAACCGTGCTTAAGGAGAGACAAAAGGCAACTTCTTGACAGTATGAACAAAAGAGGTCTACAGAGCAAATAAGTAAGCAAGAAGACTTTAGAAGGAAACGAACAGAATACTAAAGACATGAGCAACGTAGAAAAGGACAAAAACAGAAAACACCAATAGATGCTCTTTGCTCCTAGTAGCGTTCTTGTTACTACTAGTAAGGCACTTGTTACTAGTAGCGATGCCCTTTGCTCCTAGTAGCGATGCCCTTGCTCCAACCCTTTCTTCTCACCATGCAGCGCCTTGGAAGCCGTGGCTTGTACGGCCACGTCGCTGAAGCGCTCAGGGTCGTCACTCCTTTGAGCCTGGCGGAATTTGGCCAAAGCAATGGCCTTGAACCTAGAAGCCTCTTGTTTCTAATAGCCAACCTTGTTACTACTAGTAAGGCGCTTGTTACTAGAAGCGATGCACTTGTTACTAGTAGCTTCTTGTTACAACCTAGAAGCGTCCTGTAGCTTCTTGTTACTAGCGATGCCAGGAGCTACTAGTAGCGATGCCCTTTGCTCCTAGTAGCAATGGCCTCCAAACCTAGTAGCAAAAAGGATCAAACAACGCTTTCAGAACATCTTGGATGCTCCCAAGAACCCTCTCAGGACAAGGAACGAGATGGAATGACAAGGCACACAAGAAGGCTTTCTTCAAATTGACCGGGGTCTTACTGAGTTTCAAATCTGAACTTGCTTTCTGATCTTTGAAGTAACAAGTGCATCGCTAGTAGTAACAAGTGCCGTAAGAGTAGTAAGAATGTTTGCTATTAGAATTAAGTTTAATTAGAATAAGTTTTTCGATGCTTGAAACCCCTGCATCAACAAGCACCTTCCAGTTGACTGCCAGGCACAAGCCACCACACAAGGCTTGTTTGACCTCATGCTTTCGGACAAACCTTTTGTTGTAGAACCAAGGGCCAACAGAAAAGACTGTCTTGTTGTCTTTGACACCTGCTGACCTTTCAGATACAATTCTTGCAGAGTTCAGCCACGCCTGATGTTCTTCGTCTTCAACCTCAAACTGATGAGGTGACCCAATTCGTCTGATAAATGGAGATATGACATGATGGACGACTTGGGATATCTTTGGATGACCTCATAAGTTGCATCAGTTTGGCTTATCCAAAAAGCAACGACACTTCTCGTAGCAAGCTAAAACTGCAGGGACATCCTCAAGACTGAAGACAATCTTGCAGAACAGAGCGTTCAATTTCGGAAAGGCAGGAAGGAAGGATCAAGGGTCAAAAGAAGCTACTAGGAACAAGGGCATCGCTTCTAGTAACAAGTGCCTTACTAGTAGTAACAAGAAGCTACTAGGAGCAAAGGGCATCGCTACTAGTAACAAGAAGCTACTAGAAAAAGACTACTTTTCTCAGCATTCTTGCTGAGTTCACATAAGCCAAGAGAATCTCTGAGGTCTGAGGACCAAACACTCTCCGGAATCTCACGACAAAGCCATGCCTTTTGGAGAAAAGGTTTTAGTAAAGCTAAAAAACCAATCTTCTAGTAGTAAGGCCAGGAGCCCCTAGTAGCTTCTTGTTACTACTAGTAAGGCACTTGCTACTAGAAGCGATGCACTTGTTCCTAGTAGCTTCTTTTGAGTTCCTAATAGCAATGGCCTCCAACCTAATAGCAATTGTTCATACTGCCTCCGATTTCCTCCTTGTGTTTTCTAACATCGCTGAGACAGGGACAGTTAGCTCTGGGGACACCATTATGTCCTTCAAGTGTTGACGACAAGGGTGTTGTCGAGACATATGTGAAGTTGCAAAGCTGTTTTGGTATTTTTTCAAAAGAAGCTGCCTTGAAGCACTCTGCAGCAAACTCCTGGACTTCAAAACTTGGAACAAAAGGGTTGAGATGGGTTTAGTGGATTGAATCGGCCTGCCATTCTTTGGCATCAGCAGTTCGATTGGTGCGCACCAACGAACCCTTGACCTGGAGTTCAAGTGCACACTCCGCATTGACTCCGCTTCCTCAACCAACCTATTTGGACTTCCCACTAAAACAAACACGCGAACTTTCTGTGGAAACTGAGTGAACATCAAAAAAAGAATGCCAGTTCTCAGTGCCTCTGTTAGGCCTCGAAGTGTTCGCTGGAGCGCCTACCGAAGGAGAAACCAAAATTGGACCGTCCATCTAGTTGCTTTTAGTAGCGTCCTTGCTCCTAGTAGCGATGCCAGGAGCCCCTAGTAGCGTCCTTGCTCCTAATTAGAAGCTTTGCTTGCAATGCTGCAAAGGTGGTTTTTGCATTTCCCAGCTGAGATGGCAGAACCTGGACCAACGCCATGTATTGTTTTTTTTCCTTTGGTGCTGACTTTGCAAGGTTGATGGATTGAAAGTTTCGGTTTGGTGGCATGTTGCTGGATTTGGTGGCTGCTGGCCTTTTGGTTCTGATCGTAATTCTCCCTACAGTGGTGTCACATTGCCGACTTCCCGCTTGGTAGGAGGCAATCGCGATTAGGTGGAGGCCACCGCTACTAGGTTGGAGGCCATCGCTAGTAGGTACAAAATGCACTCTTGCAAAAAACAACACTTGTCTGGAACTTGTGATCATGCATTGTTTGCATTCCCATTGCTCGTGCGCCCAATGTGTTGTGAGGTCGTCCGCGATTGCCGTGTTTACCGCTCCGGGTTCCATCGTTGTAGCTCGGCTTCAAGGGTGTTTGAGTTTCCCTAAAAAGTCTAGGAACCAAATCTAGGGGCTAGAAGCTACTAAGGGCTCCTGGCATCGCTACTAGGAGCAAAAACGCTACTCGGGGCTCCTGGCCTTACTACTAGGAGCAAGAAGCTACTAGGAAATAGCGCGAGCGCTTCTTTGTGATTTTCGCCGGCGACATACATGTTAGCCCTGAGATCCGGAGTGGTTCTCGTTAATGTAGGTAGCGAACATTGCTCCTAGTAGCGATGCACTTGTTACTACTAGCGATGCACTTGTTACTACTAGTAAGGCACTTGTTACTAGAAGCGATGCACTTGCTCCTAGTAGCGAACATTCAGTGATCTGGCCATACGGAAAGCGGGTGGGTGCGAATTCACAACCCCTACTTGAGACGTGCGCGAAACAGTTTGTTGGACAGTCTTGGACATTGGACCTGTCACTACCCCTTATTGCCAACGAATAACTCTCTAAACAATTGCTGTTCGTTTCTTTCTTCTTCTTCTTCTTCTTGTCCACGTCTGTTTTCTAGAATTTCTTTCTTCTTTCCTTCCTTCGTTCATTATTTTCCTTTTTTATCACCAAGAAGTAGAACGTATCTTTTCACAGGACTTCACAAGAGTACCGTCCCGCGTACCTCTGGCAGTTCCTGGCAGATTTAAGTCCAATTCACGCAAAGGTGGCTAAATGAGACACGTATTTGCTTCGTGCTTGAACAAAAGGAAAGAGCAAAAGAGAACATGAAGAATCGAAGAACATCTGAACACATAATAGCTTCTTGTTACTACTAGTAAGGCACCTGTTACTACTAGCGTGGCACTTGTTACTACTAGCGAACCTATGAAGACACAGATAGTTTCATGAAACTAATTGATGATTTCACTACCATCTTAAAACGTAAATGCGTTTCGCTGCTCACCTGACTTTGCTCACAGTGTCTCTGAATGCACTCTGCCAGCACCTCAAAAAAAACAGTGAACCCTACCCCCTTACCGAACCTAATTGCAATGGCCTCCAAATTCATTAAATTGAAGCCAATAAGCTACTAGGAACAAGTGCATCGCTACTAGTAACAAGTGCCTTACTACTAGTAACAAGAAGCTATTAGTTAATTTATTTTTAATTTTAAGTTAATTCTAATAGCTTCTTGTTACTACTAGTAAGGCACCTGTTACTACTAGCGTGGCACTTGTTACTACTAGATTAAATTGAAGCCAATTTGCATTTAAATCTTTTGGTTCGGGGGGGCTAGGCCGCTAGGAGGATAAGGTAGCTACTAGCTACTAGTTAGCTCCTATGGACGCCCGATAGCGCGACTAATGATTTGGTTCCTAGACTTTTGGGGAAACTGAAGAGTCTTCTTTTGAGTTACTGATTGCCATTGCCTCGAACCTAAGAGTGATGGCCTCCAACCTACTGGCGATGGCCCAAGTCCGAAAGGTAGATTGGAGGCCATCATTGGTAACTCAGGAGCATTTTTTCCTCCAAGCACTATGGTAACACTAAGGGTTCTTACGGTAGTGGTTAAAGACGGGCGTCTGATCGAGGTGCTCGCATCCGCCGGCGGCTAAGTCGCTGCTATTTCCAATGCATTCATCGCAGGTTCGCAGAATCTGCACTACGTGAATCTTGACGTTCCTGGTAGCTCCTTGTTACTACTAGCGTGGCACTTGTTCCTAGTAGCGTGGCACTTGTTTCTACTAGCTTCTTGAAGTGCAGATTTCGCGGGAGGCGCAGAAAATGTGCTCTCATGTGTGTTGTCAGACATCTCTCGCCACCTCGAGACCTCTAGAACTCTGGACCTAGACCTTCAATTGAGCCTGCAGTTTGTGAACCCCGATCCAGCACCATCATCATCACCACCATCATCACCATCATCAACAACATCATCATCATCACCACCACCGTCACCTCTCTCTGAAGCCCAAAACGTCTAGAGATCTCTAAGCCTTCTGCTTCTACAACTGTAGACCTTTAGACACACTGTTTGGGGTCTTTTGCCATCGGTATCAGGTTGGAGGCCTTTTTAAAATTAGTTTAATGAGTTTGGAGGCCATTGCTATTAGGTCAAGTCTGAAAGGTTTGAAGCTGAAAGGTCTGTAAGCACAAACATCATTCCTGGGATGTTTAAGAAAACATCGCGTCGCATGTCTGTCAAAGCTTGTTTCGTTTAATTGGACGCACTGAGGTCTGCTCCAGCATGTTACCCGGAACCTGAAGACAAAAGATGCATCGTGCCAATCAAGGTGCCCTTGGCTGAGGCACTTTGGTACACAAAGACAACACATCTTTGCCTCAAACAACAATTTGAACAGAAAACAAAAACAAAAAAACAACAAAGAAGAACACACGCAAGAAAGAAACCAAACAAAGGAACAACGTTCTTGAGAAGAAGAAACAAAAAAAAGGGTACGGAAAGGAATAAAAGGCTTGTGAAAAGGTTTGTGCTGGTGACTTGTGAGTAGCAAGGACGCTACTAGGGGCTCCTGGCATCGCTACTAGTAACAAGGGCATCGCCACTAGGAGCAAAGGGCAACGCTACTAAGGGACAAGGCCCCCAGTCCTCCTTGCGCACTTCATCGACAACGGGCACCTTGACATCGATGCATTGCATTCGGTGAGCATGCGTGGTTGATGTGTTAAACTCTGCTAAACGCCTTTGGTTTTCTTTCTTTTCCTTCTGTCTTATGCTCTTTCTTCTTGACTTTCTTTTCTTTAGGCCTTTCGACCTCCTTTTCCTTGATGTCTGAAACGTTTGATGATTTTGCAACACCCTCACGATGTATTCGATTGACAGGGCCTCACGTCGTCCAGGCACCAGCAGGCAGCTGCTAATGCACAGATCTGCTGTTGCCCGAGGTGCCAGTCCATCACGCTCCTAGCAAAAGCAGCTTTCAGAGAATCTTCTCATGCAATTTAATCTCGCAATTTGGTTGGAGGCCATCGCTTAGGTGTTCATGCATCAATCTCACTTGTGCGCCCCCTCTCTCCTGGCTGCGCTTTTGAGACATGATCTGCCCGCGTCTCTTGTCAGCACCATTGGCGACACTGAACCACCTGTAGCCGGCCTGCCGCGAAGTGGAACACCTGAAACTATGTGTTCATGGTTTGGACATGGCGCTCACTTCACTAGCGCCTGCTTCAGCCTGGTCTCAACCTCCTTGTCCAGTACCATCTTGCTGTCCTTCAAGGCTTAATTGCAAGAAGGTTGGACGCCATCGCGATTAGGGTGGAGGCCATCGCTTCTAGGTTCGAGGCTATCGCTTCTAGGCTGGAGGCCATTGTTGTGAGGTTGGAGGCCATTTCCTCTAGGTTGGAGGCCATTGCTATTAGGTTGGAGGCCATGGCTTCTAGGTTGGCGGCCATCGCTAGTAGGTTGGAGGCTATCCCTCATAGGTTGGAGGCAATCGCGGAGGCCATCGCTTCTACGTTGGAGGCCATTGTTATTGGGTTGGAGGCTGCCGCTCTTAGGTTGGAGGCCAGTGCTATTAGCTTGGAGGCCGTCGCCATCGCTCTTAGGTTGGACGCCATTCCTATTACGTTAAAGGCCAGAGAGCATCTGTCTTAGGTTTCAGGCCATCGCTAGTGGGTTGCAGGCCGCTAGTAGGTTGGAGGCCATCGCTATTAGGTTGGAAGCCATGGCTTGTGGGTTGGAGGCCGTCGCTTCTAGGTTGGAGGCCACCGCTCTTAGGTTGGAGGCCATTGCTATTAGCTTGGAGCCCATCGCTAGTAGGTTGGACTATTGCTATTAGGTTGGAGGCCAGAGGGCATCGATCTGTCTTGGGTTTCAGGCCTTCGCTAGTGGGTTGGAGGCCATCGCTAGTAAAGGATGTTTCGCACCACAGCTCACCTCGGATGGAATAACTCAATAGGAAAACACGATTTGCCAGTTGTCCCGTCCGAGATTGATCCTTGGAAGGTCTACCTTTTCCTTCGCCGCCGTCGTCGTCTTTCATGTCTGCAGCTTTAATGGCAGTGTCCTGGCAAGCTCCGAAAAACTCTCTTTGGAATTGTGTGTGTGTGTGTGTCTAGTACCTCCGCAATTGCATCGATAATTGCACCATCGTTGCGTCTCCTCAGTGAAACACGGAAAGAAAGGATAAACTATGAAAGATAAAGTACTTAGCTTCCGATCGTTGCGAAATAAAACGCAATAAGCTCAGAGTCAAGATGCAGATTGCTAGGCAGCACCCGTAAAAGCCCTTCCAACGTTGCGCAAAAGACTTTCACATGCGCAAGGATTGCTTCTGGAGGTATACCGGAATATGGCAAAAATGATCCATCATCATTGTCACTCGACCACCTTCAATAAGCCATAGCAAGTAGGCACAGTCTCCGATGAACATCCTGTTTGTTTGCCGCGTACAGTAGCAAGCAATCGCTGCAGAGGCTATGCGGACGAGGTGCTCACTCCAGGAAGGCTGGTGTCTGGTGTCCGCCCTTTTCTGTTGGCAAAATAGCATGTCTATTCATTTGTCTCCCAGGTCCGTCACTGCCGGTGTCCGCCCTTTTCCGTTGGTGATGCAACATTTCTATTCATTCCCCAAACAGTCTACTCTTAGGGGTTCTCAATTCTTAAGATGTGTCCGCCCTTTCTGTCACTGCTGGTGTCCGCCCTTTTCCGCTGGCCATGGAGCATTTCAATTCATTTCTCTCAAAAGTGATCTCTTTACTTTTGCCGACCGCCGCCAGGCTGCACGTCGGTCGTCGTGCTCCCGGGCCTGGCCGCCGCCGCGCGCGCTGGCGGCGTGCCGTCTCTCTCTTTCTCTTTCTCTTGCTCTTTCTCTCTCTCTCTCTCTCTCTCTTTTTGTTTTGTTTGCCGCGCCTGCCGTGCGTCTGCTAGCCGCTTGCTGACGCGCTCCACAAGGTGTAGGAGGCCTGCCTGCCGTTCTCGGCGCCGCGTCCCGTGCGCCCCCGCGCCTCGTCGCCGCGAGCCAGCAGGACGCGCTGCGCAGCCAGCTCCTCGTCCCTCCACTTGGCCACTGGTGGCGCTGCCGCCGTGGCGACCTGCAGCGCGAGGAGGCGCTTGTTCTGTCTCTTCGGGCGTTGGCGCGCCCTGTCCTCTCTTGCCTCCGCCTTGGGGTTCTTCGGCGGCAGGGGCTTGGCGCTGCCCGCGCGCCGCGGTCGACCGCGCGTACCCTTTTGTTCGGCTCGCCTTCTGTGCCTCCCCAGGTCGCAGCGCCACTGCGTAGTCCTGCTGCAGTTTTTGCTTGAGACTCGAGCCGTCCACGGCGTCTCCCAGGTTCGGTTTGGTGCCTGCACTGCTGCTGCACTGCGGGCACCTGCCCTTTCCCCTTTCCAGCATTTCTATCTATTCATTTGTCTCCCAGGTGATTTCTGTACTTCGCCAATGAGGTTACTGTTAGGGGTTCTGAAGGCTTTCTAAGAGTGTCCGCCTTGCTGCGGGAGAGCGTGTCCGCCTTCCGTCCGGCTTGTCTCCCTTTGTCTCCCTTCTTGCTTTTTGTTGTTGGTCACTGTGTCCGTCTTGTCCCCCTTCTGTCTCCCTTTCTCTCCGGTCTTGTCTCCCTTCTTGGTGGTCATTGTGTCCGTCTTGTCTCCCTTCTGTTTCCTTTTGTCTCCCTTATTGTCTCCGTTCTTGTTTGTCATGGTGTTGTCTCCCTTCTTGTTGGTCATTCTTGTCTCCCTTCTTGTTGGTCTTGTTGCCTTCTTGGTGGTCATTGTGTCCATCTCGTCTCCCTTTTGTTTCCTTTTGTCTCCCTTCTTGTCTCCCTTGTGTTGGTGTCTCGAAAAGTAAACTTGGGAATCCCACCTGTTTGGGGCCTACGGTGGCGTAACTTGTAGCGTGCGATGCTCTGAAGTAGCTGTGGCTCGACACTGCTTGCTAAGATTGCACTGATTGATTTCCAAGTAGTTCAGGGAAAGTGTTTGAAAGTCAACACTGGAAGTCATGGCACCTGGCATAAGCCTTCGTCTTTTCAGCTTTTGAATAGCTTCTTCTTGTCCGTTGTCATTCTCCCCCTTCAAAACTACTATCTGCTTGTCCAAACACACCGCTTCCTATCGTGGAGGCCGCGCAGTTCTTTTCTTTTGCTATCTTGACCTCGTTCCTGTACAGAATTCTCTCCACTCCAGAACTTGTTGATTTAGGTGCCACACCAAGACTTGTATCCATTTGCCCCTCCAGCTCCTCTGGCTCCATCTGCTGTAGATGTTTGTCACTCAATCCCTGGCTTTGAGGTGAAGGGTCACTCCCACCGCAAACATGGAAGTCCTCGCTGTCTCTAAAAACATTTCTATGTAGTTGAGCTGGCCTCTTTGTGGATTCAGTGGCTCACCGCAACAGCTTGACCCCAGCCACTTCCGACTTTCTGAGCGCATCCACTGTCTTCTCTCGCGGCAAGCGTGTTCCCCTTCTTCCTTTGGAGTCCTGACATACGGACACGGATGTTTCCATTGGTTCAACAAGCCGTGAATAGCGCCGTTCCCTGAGGGGCAGCAAAGGTCCACTCTTATTGGGTATTGACTACTTCGCAATACAACTGCCACCACGAGAACAACAAAACAAACAAAAGGCAAACGGTCACAACAGAAGCGCAAAGAAGGAAACGACAACAAGTATTGACAAAGGTAACAGTGAGCAACGCAACATCTCCTCTGTCAAGCCATAGGAAGTCTTCGGAACATCAGCGTCTGCTTTTTGTCTTTTTGTTTAGGTTTTTTGGGGGGCAAGCCGCCGTGTCCTTGCTGTCCTTGCTCGTTCAGCAGAACAGCCATATGGGACGTAAGCATCGCTGTCCTGCATCCAGAGTATGACATTATCTGACTTCATATATATATATATTTTTTTTACTGCAACTGCAACTATGAAATCACATTTGTATAACTTCTGGAATCTCCTGTGACCGGAAGTGGGCCGCTTCAGCAAAGGCTTCGCTCGTGGCCCGAAGCTTCTGACACCGGCCTTGAGGGATCTATGCTCAGACAAAGGGAGACAAAGCAAAATCATCTCAGCCCCGCATCCAAACATGCCATGTCAGACAAGGGGAGACAAGGAGAGACAAAGCAAAGTGATCCCAGCCCAGCGTCCATGGGAGACAAAGTCATCTCAGCCCAGCATCCAGACGCAGACAAGGGAGGACAAGGGGAGACAAAGGGAGACAAAGCAAAATCTCAGCAGCATCCAGACATGCCATGGGAGACAAGGGGAGGCAAAGCAAAATCATCTCAGCCCAGCGTCCAGACATGCCATGGGAGAGAAGGGGAGACAAAGGGCGGGAATCATCTTGGCCCAGCATCGTTTCTATGCAAGAATTGAGAACCCCTCACAGCAAAGCTGTCTAAGAGCAATCCACGTCTGAGTCGTACCAAAGTCAGGTGAGCCCAGGGCAACACCGCGCGATTTGTAACTGAAGTGGTTGACACATAGAAAAAGCATCGGTAGACAGGTCAGCCCTCACCGCTTGTGCAGGTTTGTTGTAGGCTTCCAATATCCCAAGACCGGCTCGCGACTACTTTAGTGTGCCGCAGGTTTTGTGAGATGCTCAAAAGTTGTTATGACTGGATCCCTTCGTATTTCACATATAGCAACAGCGATGCGCTAGTCATGTCTCTCTTCTTATCACAAATTCCATGAACGAGCCACACAACTTGTATAAAGGAGCTCAAGCCAAGCCGCTCTGGCTCCAAACCACGAATCCATCTAATCTCATTCACTCGGCAGTCACTGTCAACTCCAAGACAGGTCCTCTAGACGCAACGATGCGAGCCCTTCGGCCCAGCAAATCGGAGGCAGCCATGGAGGATGCGCACTGATAGCTGATGCAATCCGATATGAGAATACACTATCTTGGCCGTGCTCTGCGCATTGCTTTTTCTCCTTGAATTCTACTTTTGCATATACAGTAGTTGTCTCATCAAATGTAATAGCATTCGCGCGCTTGTTGAAGTCAGTTGTTTCACAGCCATGAAATATCTCTACGCGGAGCCACTGCTCGCAAACACGATTCAGTAAGCGCAGGAAAAATGTGCGCTCTCGACTCACCAAGAAGTTGAAGTACTTCGGGACGCAAGCCTCTTGTATGTCTCCCTGTTGTTTGGGGCAATTGCTCGTACCTTTTTGATGATTTTTATACAGACTATATGCACAAGGGACATCAAATTTGTTAACGCCGAACTAATATGATATGTCTAATGAACAAATGCGTGAGCGGAGCGGAATCGCAGTGTTCCTGATAGGAAGGTTACGGAAAGCTTTCGAGAAGCAAACATAGTAAAGAGTTCTGGTTGAATTTTGCACCATCAGCCCGCGCAGTGGAGTTCTACTAAGACGGACGTCACTGCGCGAAGTGGAAAGCTTTATACAATTAAGATTGCAGTTCGGAATGAGGAATTGTTTCAGCTCCGGGCAGGAAGTATTTCATATAACTCCGTTTCATGCTGCAGAGGGAGAAGCCTCATACTGTTGATGGACAAAATCCTGAACCACTTTGCGCACTGTCTTCTTGCTGCCTTCATTCTCCCTCGTTAACATTGGGGCCGCCGCAGTGGAAAATTTAAAACAAGCTGAAGATCAAAAATCCTGCGCCGCCTCCTAAGAGACATTGAACGAGGGGGCGCAGGGGTTGCTATGCGACCCTTCCAAGGTGAGGTGGTGAGGTGGCACAGGATTTGCTCCATCAACAATATGATTATATTTCAGACCGCTAAGGGAACATATTGCTCAGCCCGCGAAGGTGAATTGTATCTCAGCCCGAGGGGATAGTTTCCTATGATTTAATATCAGTCCGTGAAGGGGAATATTGCTTCAACCAGCGAAGGGGAGAGGTTCCGAGGTTTCAGCGAAGGGGAGAGGTTCCGAGGTTTCCAAGTCCAAGTATTTAGAAATTCTAAAAGGATACAAACAACTAAAAACAAAAAAATAAATCCTTGATGTTCCAAGGTTTCCAGGTATTTCGAAATTAAAACAAACTTCATATTTAGTTTTTTGTCTTCTTTAGATTTTCTAAATACCTGGAAACCTCGGAACCTCAAGGGTTTAAATTTGTAAAAACATATTTTTGTAAAAGGCCGCAAGACAAACCGCAACATATTGAATTTTAACTTTTTTTAAGGCCGCAAAACTAACAATTCTAAATATTTAGTCTCTTTATTTTTTACAGGCAGCAAACCAGAAAAACTAAATATTTTGCTTTTATTTCTTTAGAATATATAGATACATGGAAACCTCGGAACCTCAAGCGTTTAGATTTTTTTAGATTTTTAATAGGCAGCAAAACTAAGCAACTAAATATTTAGTTCTTTTTAAAAATCTTTTGTTCTTCTTAGTAGGCCGCAAAACAAAAATATTTTAGTCATCGTTGCGCCCAGAACTGTTTTCGCACATGGGAAAGATCTCCGGCCATCAACTCCATCAGAAGCGCTCCGTCCACTTCCCCCAAGAAGTCTACGACCTGACGGGCTTTTGAACAGTGAAAGCATGGCAGCTGGGAACGCTTTCACTGTGCCAACCTGAGAGTCGGGCCTTGGGATGCCTGCAGCACTGCATGGCTTTGATCTCGGCCATGAGTGGAGATGCCTCCTTCATGACCTTGATCGCCACAGGAACTGATCCGAAAGTTCCTTGCCACGCCTTCGAATAGCCGCCCTCCCCCAGCTCTACCTTTCAGGCGTAGGGTGCGGAGGCCTTGCCTTCTGCTTCTCCTGCTTCTGTTTGACCTTGCAGCGGCTCACTCCACGGTAGAACCAGGAGGGAAACAGCTCGCGCCTCGTGCAGGCCAACTGCAGCAATGCCAGCGCAGGATTGGCCTTCCACATCTTCCACCTGGCTTCAGGTTGAAGCCCCTTTCATAAAAGTGCTTTCCCCCTAAAAAAAGAGTGAGGAACGCTGTGAGGGCCTGTGTTTTTCAGTGTTTTTGTGTGTTTTTTACTATATTTGGGCTTCTTACGCAAAAAATATGAAGTCTGTAGTGGAACAGCTGGTGTTGCATCACATGTTCCAGCTTCAAAAACACAAGAACTGATGCTAAGAGTAGTGAAGCAGCTGGTGTTGCTTTGCTTCAGACTATTCACTCTTGGCGCTGCTCTTCAGCATCATCAACTTTTCTTCTCTTGTGTGGTCTCTTTTTTGTACCAAAGCAAGCCTCAACATCTTGTGACAAGAAGTCACAGAAAGCCTTGAGCTGTGCTGCATCCAGCTTGACTTGCGCATCTCAACACTTGAAAGAAGATGGTGTTAGCACTTCCACATGTGTACCAACAAGCTCCACGAGTCATTTTGTCCAAAAGCTTCTTCCAAGCCCTGGTGCCTTTCCTCTGGCTCATTGGCTTCTTCAAAGCACTCATCAGTAGTGTCAGCCATGTTGAAATGTTTCTTCAAGCCTTCTTTTAACAGCTTTTGGAATTCCTTCCATTGAGGGCTGGAAGTCAAGTTCACAGACTTGCTGTTTTGTATTCATCTCTGCAACCAAGCGCAAGCTTTGCTATGGCATAGTGGCTGGCTCTGAACTTCACAAAGGTCTGGCCATCATGTTTTGTCACAAGTGCTTCAGGCAGCACCACAGGAGGGCCATCATTGTATTTCAAGGCAATCTGATTGATGACCTGCATTTTCTTGGGCCAAATACTTTAGGCATACATTTGTATCACAAACAATGGCCTTGCAGACAGCACAGTGTGCAAACTCAAAAAACACACAGCTTCTAGTAGCTAAGTTTCAGCTTGTAATGTTTGTTTTGAACAATTGAAGGCATAAAGCCAAAATTTGCATGGCGCATTGTTTTTGTCCTGGCAAGCTTTGGGTTTTGGGTCTACCTCATCCCTGGTTTTTGGGTCTCCTCATCCCTTTAGGATTTTTTTTGGTCTCTTCTTGGGCTGCTCATCATGGGTCTCTGCATCACCTGCTGCCTCATCCTCTTTCTCATACATCAATTGTGCACCTGCTTCGATGTTGGCCTTGCTTTTGAAACAAGGCATTGACAAAGACAATTTGCCATGTGCCACCTTCACATCTGACAGAGTCACATTGGCCAAACAGTGTCATTGGTTTCTGCAACCCAAAAGAAAGGCGCTATAGCACCAGTGCCTTTCTTGAGGTCCAGCTTTGGCTGCTGGACTTGGTAGTAACTCTTGTCTTTCAGGTTGGTCACAACCACCTTGGCTTTCTTCAATTGCTCAGCTGTAATCTTTTGCACCATACCAAATGGGAAAATCTTCAAACTGACCTTTCTGACTGGCTTTGCAGCATAAACCTTGTGGTCATCCATGAACAAAAGGGATTTCAAATCCACAGCTGCATCATCCCAAAAAATTATTGAGCAAGGCCAGCTGCACTTCATGAGAAGAGCAGGGGAAGCTGTTTGCATCACAGGTCCCAGCCACAGAAGCTATGGATGATAACAGTAGTGAAGCAGCTGGAGTTGCATCACATGCTCCAAGCTACAAACACCTGATGATAAACAATCAGGGAAGGGTCTAGGGGGGGGTTCCTAGTTGGGAGAGTGGGGGGGGTCGAGCAAAAAAACTCAAAAATCTCCCCCCCAGAAATCCCTCTCTTCCACCTTCATAGTAAGAGGTCCTTGTTCCTTGCCTACATTGTGTGGCACATAAGCTTTTATTATTGTTTCGCTTTTTTTCAATAGCTAACAAAAATAAATATAGGAAAAGAACACACAGTCTATATATAAAAAAGTGATTTTATTAAAAGCAATAGCTTTTTGGAAGCACTGAAAAACGCAGGCCCCCACAGATTGCCTTTCTGTAAAAAAAGGTGTGTAAAAAAGTGGGTTTCCAACACCGTCCTTTCTCTGGGTTAGGTGGGAGGCCATCGCTAGTAGGTTGGAGGCCATTGCTATTAGGTTCACTTCTTCGCTGGCTCTGCTCTCCTGTGGCTGATGCCAAATGGTGATGCGGATGGAGCCTGAAAGACTGGAAGAAGCTCTGAGCATGTTCGAAGACATTCGAAGTGTTCTTCAGATTTTAAGAATTCGAAATCACATGGTGCATTTAGTGTGCCGCCAGACTGCAAGACGGAATCCACACATCAAGTGAGGTCTGGACTGATGGGCATCATCTGAAATAGCTGAAGTCGTAGCAGCTCCAAGACACCTCCCACAGCTTCAAGCAAAAACAGCGCAGTTCGGACCTGCTCGGCACACCCTCTTAGCAGTCTCTTTGTGGTGCCACTTTCAAACACAACTTGCCTATGCTCGCCCACCCTCGTTTTGCTTCACTCTTCGATGGCCTCCAACCTACTAGCGATCTTGCTACTAGTAGTAAGGCCAGGAGCCCCTATAGTAGCGTCCGATCGCTCCTAGTAGCGATGCCCTTGTTACTACTAGCGATGCACTTGTTACTACTAGCTTCTTGTTACTACTAGTAAGGCACCTGTTACTACTAGCGATGCCCTTGTTACTGCTGACTCTTTTTATCCTTTGCAGCACCATGCCAAGTGCTCAAGTACCGCTCGATGGACTCTAGCCCAGCGTGGGTAGCGGTAGCGTCCGCGCACAGCACGGAGCACAGCGGCCGAGTCCTGGAGGACGAGTGGGTCTCACAATGAGGACAAGTCTGGGATGGGCAAAGAGGCAGGAAGTAGCATGAAGTAGCTATATAAGTTTGTAAGAAAAAAGCAGAAGGAAAAGGAAGAAGGAAAAGGAGAAGGAAAAGGAAAAGGAAACAGTTGATGAGAAGGAGAAGGAAAATCGGGAGACGGTTTCGGCGACACTTTTTTCTTTTTTTAACGGTGCTGCAGTTCTGCTCAAGAAGAGCTGCTCAATGAGCTGAAGCACAGAGTGTCCCTTCTTTCAACAAGTTCGCTCACTATATGTGTAGACATGTTCTTATTAAGTTCCTCCTCGCTATGTTCAAACACATGATGCTTTTAGGCCGTGACATTTGCAAGTGCTATCAGTGTGATCTGAACACGGCGGCAAGAATTTCCGCAGCGCCGGTAGATACCTGTTGCTATGAACAAGAATGCAACTGCATTGGCTTTAAGTCTGGCCTCATCTCCAAGTCTTGCCAACATTCCAAGGCTACTAGGAGCAAGGACGCTACTAGGGGCTCCTGGCCTTACTACCAGGAACAAGAAGCTACTAGGAGCAAAGGGCATCGCTACGAACGGAGCAAGGAAGGCTACTAGAGGCAAGAAGCTACTAGTAACAGTCCGATACAGTGTACATCCTTTTGAACAACAAGAAGCTACTAGTAACACGTGCATCGCTTCTAGTAACAAGTGCCTTACTAGTAGTAACAAGGACGCTAGTAACAAGGGGCGTCACTAAATGAGTTTCAAATCTGAAGCGCCTTGATCCGATCGCCTTGCCTTTCACTACTCACAGCAACGCTATACCTGGAACCACATAAGTCACGCTTTTGAAGGTTTTAATGTAAAAAAAGGTCTACGAAAAGGGTTTTGGATTGGGTTCCTCTTTCCAGCCTCAACACGAGAAAACTACAGCACGGCTTTGGACCTCTCAGTCTTACACGCGAATGCAAAGCAAACTCCTCCTCGACAGGAAGATGTTGACAGAGTGCTGCTTCCTGACAGTTGCAACGACTAGGAACAAAGGGCATCGTTACTGGGACGCTACTAGGAGCAAATTTGACTGTCGTGTTCTTGCTGCTTCGAGTTGTAGTTTGTCTTTAGATGCCAAGAGCTCCTAGTAGCGATGCCCTTTGTTACTAGTAGCATCCTTGCTCCTACTAGCGATGGCCTCCAACCTACTAGCGATGTCTTAACTTGCTCCAGGTTTGTTTCGCTCGAATTGGTAGGACCTAGGCGTTTCAAAGAATTGCCTTGTAGCAAACTACAACTTGATTTTCTATTTTTTGCTCCCCCAGACATCCCAGACATCTTGGCAAGGCATTTCCAGACCCAGCAAGGCCCTCAAGAATGCTCTGCCCCAAAGGCGCTCTTTTCGAAGCAGGAAGCCCCTGGTAGCGATGCCCTTTGCTCCTAGTAGCGGATTCTTACTTTTCCTCTCTTTCTTTTCATGTTCTTTGCTCTTTGGACCTTTCCTTCTTCCTTCCTTTCTTTTTCCATCCTTTTTGCCGAGAATCAAATGTGTCGATGTCCGTCACAAAGGGAGCCAAGGCCAATGCCAACTGCCTAGGTGGAGTGTCAAAATGTTGCCAAACACATCATGCGCCATGAGCTCTTTTGTCAGAACAATCCCCTGCGGCTGGTACCGGAACGCAATTGAAGCTTTTTGAAGGTCTTGAACGACCGTGCTTTCTGTTAACAGTGGGCGATGCTTCACGCTTCACACTAGTGCCAAAGGCAATTTGGAGGAGAACTGTTGGAGTTATGGACAGTTTAAAAAAAAAGGAATAGAGGAGGAGGATAGAGGAGGAGGAAAGGTCTTGAGGTCTAAAGAAAAGAAAAAAGGGAAGGAAGGAAGGAAGGAAGGACGGAAGGAAGGAAGGAAGAGAAAACGGAAGAGAAAAGAATGGTCTGAAGGTCTAAAGAAAAGGAACAAAAAGGGCAAAACTATACCAACGAGTATTTCCGTATCCACGTGTGCACGAAGGGGTGATGCAGGGACTGAAATGGTAGTCAAGAAAAACATCTCTGGGCGAGGGCAGCCTCAGGGCAGCTGTGAAGTGGTTGCACTTGGGTCAAACATTTTCATAGGGAATTTTTGTAGGGAACTATAGTACCTACAGAAGACATACTAGTAGCTTCTTGCTACTAGCAGGAGCCCCTAGTAGGGTCCTTGCTCCTAGTAGTAAGGACAGGAGCCCCTAGTAGCTTCTTTGTAACTACTAGTAAGGCACTTGTTACTAGTAGCGATGCACTTGTTCCTAGTAGCTTCTCGTTACTATAGCCAGGTGTTTTTGGTAGGCGAACGGAACTGAGGGATGGAACACTCAATGGACGGGTGTAGTTGGCGATGGGTTTCTGTGGGCTCTCTGTGGCGTCGCAACATTTAATATAATTCTAATTTGTTACTACTAGTAAGGCACTTGTTTCCAATAGCTTCTTGTTACTACTAGTAAGGCACTTGTTTCTAATAGCTTC